GTTTTTTTTTTTTTTTTTTTTTTTTTTTTTTTGGCTAATTTGCTCTTTGACATATGTTCCTAGAGCCATGGTTGAAATGGATTTTATTAGAATCCAAAAAACAGATTTTCTTTTTTTTATTTAGAGACAAATCTCTGAGGGTCAGATGACATAGAAGAAATTAATTTTAGAGTAGACGTGAATGAGACCTTGCAGCAGTTCTTCCAACAACAGTGTTTAATGAGAAGATATTGGTTGGTTGATTCCCAACATCTTAGGAATTCTAAGATCACCGTGACTAGAAGATTTTGGCCTCATTTTCTGTTTATCTCATTTTTTCTTTTTCTCCTTTCTTTATTTCTTTCATTTTTTTTTTTCTTCTTCAGGATGATGGCCTCCCAGAAAATGAACATCAGCTGTCAGTAGCTGGAAAGATAAAGAAGCACTTCAACACAGGCCCCAAGCCGAATAGCACAGCAGCTGGAGTTTCTGTCATAGCAGTAAGCATCTGAAATACCCACCTATAACTTTTTAAAAGCAAACTGCCTCAAAGACAGGCATTGCACAGGAGATTCCACCCAGAGACAGCAGAATGGGTCATTTCTTTAGACAGCTTGGCCACTTAATGGGCTAGAGGAGGTATGGGGCTTACACCTATTATGTGTTTTTGCAGATCATTTCCCTGGGCATCACATCATTATCCAACACCTCCAGGGTGTCTTGCAGTATATATTAATTTCATGATTTATTTTTTTAAAGCAGAAAACCTCCCCCACACTGGACTCTGTGCCAATGCAAACTTTTTGGCTGTAAGGAAAGGAATTCGGAATGTCCTTTTGCCAGGACCTAGAAGAGAAGGGAAGCTGAGAGAGACGACAGTGCAGAGAGGTTGGAGCACTGTGGATCTTTATACTAGACCTAAACAAAAGCCAAAGCGTAGCAGAGAGCTTTCACCATAAGATTTTTCAGTGAAATTGAATTGCTGTAAGCAGCCAACAAAGTCACGATGTCTTGCTCCTTAGAAATTTCTGTTCTTCAAGTTGAAAGTCTTTTAACATTTACCATTCTATTCATGCGCCTGTACAAGGATTCTTTTTTTTTTTTTCTGCTCTATACATACAGACATACACTATATGCAATTTGATAGCAGCTCTAGGCAAAGATTAAATTGGGCCGAGAAATAATGAAACCTCATACTTCCTGGTGTCATATTCTAGAGTAAATATATTCAAGTCCCCGATTACTTGAGTTTTTAATAATTTCCTCTTTTTTCATAGTATGTAAATTTGAACAGCATATTTATTGTGAAAATGACTTGAGCTGTTTTTCTTTTCTGAACAAAGGACTTAAGACACTGTGATACAGAATTTTTAGAAAGCACACGTGCTATGAGACAGTACCTCACTCATGAGCCGTCCTGAATGTTTAACTACTTCTGTGGGTATTTTTATTTTCTCTTTTTCTTTTTTGGTTGTGCTAGAGCTTCAAGTAAAGCTAAAGATAAGTGAGTGACCTATTCAATGCAACCAATCCCAGATCTGGGTTGCTAACTATTTGATATGGACTTCCAGAATTTGCAAATGGTACGGGTGCGTGCACACATACTATCCTTCTGTTTGCATTTCACATTGCTCAGTTGAACCCTTTCAAGAGTGAGTTACATGCGTGTAACTGGCACATGGAGAAACTGATGCTGCTAAGTAGAATGCATCCTCTTTCACATGTTCCTCAGTGCTACTGAGGTTTTACAATTTCAAGTCAATCTTCGTGCCCTCTCTCTGTAGTTCTTTCCAAGAAAATTCAGCGTA